GGGTTATTATTGTAACTATAATAAAGTGGGTTAGTACTTTAGTAATCTCTCTACTATAAATGTTAATAAAATGTACTATAGGTCCTAAGTATCCTGTCTTTTAAAAAGCTTAAGATCAGAGTATAATGTAGCCACACAGAGACGCTGGTCTTGGCCAAGACTGAATCACTCGTAGTATACTTTTGTAATGTCAAGGTTCGCATGCTACGTCAGGTTGACCCGATCGAAGAGGCAGGCATACGGTACATGAACTGGCTATAGGCTTCCACTGCTATTGATGTCCTTCAGCACACGAAATTTTAGGCGGAGGGACGAGAACCAGTACCCTGAAGAGCTACGTGATGATGGACCAGTTCAGTTCAACAACTGGCATCAAGCCTCCCATGATGAAGCTATGCCACTATGCACCACTACGAGTGAAGCCGCGCTTGTTGGAGTTCTGTGTACTTTCGCATGAAGTGGCTGTGACATTTCTCGACAGTTCCGGATAGAGCGGCATGTGACATGCCGGTACAGTTCCGGTTGGCTTGAATTTTGTAGCGACGGCTGCGAGGATCAGAGAGGGTCGGGCCGCTGGCCAGCCAGCCGCGAGCCAGCGATCCAAAAATAACATGTGTGTCGGGGGGCAAAGGGAGGCTGATTTTGCTCTTGTGGCTGCAGGAGTGACCTGTCTCATCGGTAGGGCAAAGCCGTGCGGCCGCTATGAAATGAAATACGGGCAGACTTCCATATTTGGGACGGAGTGGTGTCCTCATTCCCACAATAATCATATCGATGACAACGGTGATTGGCTGTTTAATATATCGAAAGTCGAGTCGCTCAACTCATGTCTGCAAACCAGCAGGGTGCTACGCCAGAACAATGCTAACCTGAGCATGATGATCCTGGCCACCACCTATGTACGAGCATAGAGGGCAAAACCCGCCGGATCTCGTTAAGCTAGCATTTGCGGTCGAATGCTAATGTCGCTCGTGTTTACGAAATATTGCCTCATTTCTGGTTCGACACGGCGCGGCTCGCAGTACACCAAGTATGGGCTTCTCCAGTTCATGTATTAAACACATTTAATGCAACACATCGCCCTTCTCACCTTATTAACTGACGGGGACAAACCTTTTCTCGCTCTTGCTCTTGCTCACGTCGTCGCCTCATTTGGTTCAATAACAAACCCGTTATTGCAACCTACATCGGGGAAGAAAAGCACGCCCCCGTGGCGCCCAGAGCTGCAGCCGCTCTGCAGCCGAAAAGGGGTTTCTACCTTCCTAACCGTCCAACAATGAGCAGGCAACGATGCGATGTCACGAGCGAGCGGGGTTCAGCATGGCGGGCGACAAGGGAGCCAACGCATTTGCAAAGTGCCAGGATTCGAATTTTTTAAACTCCTACATCACAACAGCTTCTTACTCTGTCTGATGATACACATCTGTAAGTTGACCATCGGGGGTAGCTCTGAATTGGGACTGACGGTAGCAAGGCGTTAACCGTAAATTTCGTCCTGGAAATCTGTGCCAACATCCAAAGCGAAAATTGCAATCGCCTGATCTAGGTCTTTTCTGAAAGCAACAAAACCCGATGACCACTATCTCTTCCGCGCAAGTGAGTCCTACAATCAACGTAGGGCCGCTGCCCTCCATCACGCCCGCTTCAAAATGCGCGGAACTGGCCCTTCGCACCGTTTACAAAGCCGTCATACAAAGCTCCACCACGACAAGTTACTTGCAGCTTCAACGGGATTTTGCCAATGTGTACATTACGAATGACAGCGTAACTGCAACTTGTATCCCGGAAAGCTATTTCGACGCCGTCGCTATGGGATCAAGCCCTGTTTTCTCCTCTGCTACTGCCTGCCCAGACGGTTATGTGCCCATGTGCACCTTTGTCGCCGCCGGTGCCACTCTAACCGCCGCGCCTACCGCGCGGGCTTGGCCGGCTCTGGCTGCCGGCGATGAAGCTATTGGCTGCTGTCCCAGGTAATAACTTATCATTCCAACACCGATCCAGCAGTTTGATCTTCCTGAAAGGGAGGGTGCGGGAGCAGGGGCAATAGTTGTCTACTTGTTGATGCCTAAGATATTATGGCGTGGCTGACATTGTCCGTTTCACTCACAGTGGTTACTCTTGTGCCGACGGTGCCGACACTTACGCTTGTGTGTCAACTTTAAAGCCGGGCGATACAAGTCAAGTTGTCTTTCTCGACAACCTCACCGTCTCCGCCGAGATTTACGCCAACGCGCAAACGACAGTGAGCGTTTTCGCCCTCAAGCTGCTATATGGATCCAAGCAGCTTGACAATCATCTCCATAAGGGACTATCCCAGGGCCAGAAGGCAGCAATTGGTGTTTGTGCTCCCTTGGCAGTATTTTCATTGCTGGGGGGCCTACTTTTCCTAGTTCGCCGCAGAGGCAGGAAGACAGCCGCGCGAGGGACAACGAGCAAGGACATCGCCGCGGTTAGCTATGGCAAACCAGAGCTTGCCGGATCCAACAAGCCCCAGCTCGAGCTCGACGCATCACAAGATTCGGACGCGGCCCAGTTTGTTGGCTTGCCTCAGCCTCCAGTGGAGTTGGCAGCAACTGAGGAACAAAGTTTTCCGCAGCACGAGGTTTCCGAGCTACCAGGCTGTGACGTGGTGCTCGCGCCGTCGTCCCCCGGCGGAAAGTCGCGTACTATACAAAGGAAACCAGTGGCAGGCAGCCCGGCTTCGCTAGTGATGAGCGTTCTAGCAGGAAGCAGCTATCAGCTTCCTGAAGTGGCTCATGGCGCAGATGACCATGTCTTGACCAAAGTTGATACCGTTTCAGGAGAAGATAAAAGCCGCGGGACGGTGGCAGAAGAAATATGACAAATCTTGGCGCCATTTGAGAAGGCAAAGCTGTCCTAGCCAGTGCTTGTAGCATTTGAGGAGGATGTTGTATAGTTGTGTAGGGGTTGATTTAAGGAATTAGTAGAATAATAACTGCTTGCTGAGTATATATTTGTTGCAACAAGAAAAAAAAAGTTTTCTGACGCCAAACCTCACAATAAAGGTTTTCCGGCAAAACATCGTTGTGGTCAGCATGAGGCACTGTTTAAGCGTGATTGCAGGTGGCCAGCGTCGAAGATGTGTATTTGGATCATCGTTGAGGCGAGTGGTGGGTAGATTTTGGCCGCCTACATGGTCGCCTTAGCAACTCAGCGCCAGCCACTTCCCTATTTTGATTGATCGCTAGCTGAAGAGACGCACTTCTATATCTGAGCGTTGTTTAATCGGGCAAAGGTGCAGGCATCGATACCATTCGCAAGGGATTCCTCTTCCTCTACACAGGTACATTAAATAAGGGCACAACATTTAAATGTCGTTTAAAACCTGATAAATAACATCTGTCTCTTGAGAGGCCCGCTTTAAACTCCCACTCCGCCTTATCTTTTTAACACTATTGATACTCCTTAGAGGTGGTAGGGACTTCGCGGCCGCATAATATAGCGCTACTATAACTAATGTTACTTAACTAGTGATTCTTCTTTAATGACTTTGTAGCGAGCTAAGTATGTAGCCATTTTTTAAAAAAAAAAAAAAAAAAAAAAAAAAAAAAAAAAAAGAACACCTTTGGCGTGGAGCTATAAAGGTCGCGTAGACCAAGGGTGTCAGGGTCCTATTAGGGCACCTGTTAGAGCCCCTACGTTATATGTGTCAGGTGCGTATGAGCACCTATATAACAGCGAGCTGCCGCCGAGCTCTCTACGAGGAGGCAGCGATAATTCCACATTTTATAAAAATACAAAAGGGATCATTACGTGACTGGAGTCCTCCGAGCGAAGCACCTCACAAAGGGCCTCTTTGCCACAGCCCTAAAGCTAAGGCTTCTCTAATATACCTTTTATTATCTTAGAAAGATGTTATAAAGCATCGATAGGTACGGTGGGCTTTATCGCTTTTATGCTCTAAAGTAGCCTTTATTATCTACACACAACCACACTTGTTATTATTCAAAATTGTGTAGATCACCGCCGCTGTCCTTTATGTCAGAAGCCGCCACTAATGACAGCAACAAGCTGGGTAGCACATCGTGCGGCTTAGATAATCTCCACCGGATGATCGACCGTTATGTTTCTTTTGCTTTTACGCTTGTTGACCCCGTGGGCTCTACAGAAGGTGATTTTTCTAGTGGCTAACTAGTTAACAGAGCAAGGCCGTCAATCGTTAAACGGCTAGCGCCTCACTGTGATAGTGGAAAATTCCCTTTTTGCCGTGGGCGGCTAACTGAGGCGGGCAATAACGCTGGCGGGCCATCCTATTATTAAATGTCTAAAAGTGGAGGAATAAGCCTTCTAAGTAGAGCGATAGGTGAGCTGGTTTAAGGCTCTTAGGAACTGCTAGAAAGAGCTACAGTAGATGGGACCCTATTAGTCTCTGCTCTAGGAAGAGGTAAGCTAGGATGGCCGGCTAGCGCATGTGACGGGGCGGGACGGCGAATCAGAAAGCGGGATTCGCGGACAGCGACACACGGAATACAAGATGAGGCTCACTGCTTTTAGTGGTTCAGTGGGTGGCAATAAGTATTTGACCCCTTCATGGTACCTAGCCTAAAGAAGACGGATAAGATGCTGCCGCTTTAATCAGGCAAGCACTAACCCCAACTATAATGCAGTTACAGTGGACTTACAGGGGATGATCCTAGCCCTACCCCGAATAACTAAAAAGCGGCATGTAATTTCCCTATTTAGGTTAGTAGGTTTTGGAAAAAGCTACCACGAAGGGGTTGAATACTTGTTGCCACCCACTGTACCTGCCTAATAATACCCTTGACCCCTGACTGCAACTTGGTCGTGTGATGGTTGAAGATGGGGCGGCGGAACGGTCAACTTAGTCAGCAGCGCCCGCGCAGTTTAATTAAACGCAGCGCCTGCTGCCCCGTGGGTTCATTAAAGGGGACAAGGTGTAAGAAAGGCAAAAGGACAACAACGCGCGATCCTGCGTCCCGCCCCCATCGCATTCTCCCCGCGGGCCAGCCTGACCAACAATGAAGTTGCTACTTCTCTTGCTGGTTATCGCTATAGTGCTGCTTCTCGGCGTCTGCTATGGGCGCCTCACCGCGGCGGTGCAGAGGCGCCTCCCGAAGCTGCAGAACAAGCGCATCTGCCTGCTGATCGCGCACCCCGACGACGAGTCCATGTTCTTCGCGCCGACCCTCCTCGCGCTGACGCGACCTGAGACGGGCAACCACGTCAAGGTGCTCTGCCTCAGTACAGGTATGGCTGCATCTACATTCTTGGTCTAGACTAAAGAGAGAGCGCGCCTGTTGCTAATTCCGGCTGTTTGGGCGGCGTGCGCAGGCAATAACCAAGGCCTTGGCCAGATCCGAAAGAAGGAGCTGTTCAAGAGCTGCTCCATGTTGGGGCTAAAGCAGGACGATGTGTTTGTCATTGATAGCATGTACGGAATCCTAAAACACTGTGAACCAACCAACCACAGTTTGCCGCAACAAACTCGAGGTCGAATCGTATATATTAACTCTACGTCATAGTAAGTTCCGCGACTCGCAAGAATGTACGTGGGACAAGGACGACATATCCAATCTGCTCTACGAGCCCTTCATCCGAGAAACCGCCGACGGGCCCCCCTCCTCCCCCAAATCGAAAAAGACCATCGTCCCTATCCTCGACGTCCTGATCACCTTCGACCAGCACGGCGTCTCCTCGCACCCCAACCACATCTCCCTCTACAACGGCGCCCGGGCCTTTGTCTCCAGCCTGAGGCAAAGGCAGACCGGCTCGGAGCAGCCGGGCGTGGACCTGTACACGCTGACGACCGTGCCGCTGCTCCGCAAGTTCACCAGCTTCATGGACGGCTTCGTCACGTGGCTCATCTGGTCCGGCGACGCGGAGCGGCAGGGCGGCGGCGGCAAGGCGAGGAGGCTGCTGTTCTTCAACTCGCTGACGGGCGAGGGCGGCGTGCCGACGGCCTGGCGGACGATGACGACGGCGCACAAAAGCCAGATGGTGTGGTTCAGGTGGGCTTGGGTCGCGTTCAGCAGATACATGGTCGTCAATGATTTGAAGCTGGAGCAGACCTGAAGAGGAGGAAGCTGATCGAGGAAATATTGTCGTTCGGCACGTTGTATACCCGGCCGGGGCCAAGGTTGATTGAACTTTGAGAACTTGCACGCGGGGAAGAACAACTGCGTGGCTAAGAAAATGAAAATAAACAAGTCAATAAATAAAGAATAAATTCATAATTAATTTCAAGCGACGAGCAATTCGGCTGTGTTCATGTCGTGTAGATGATCTCGGGTCTTGGACAGAAATCCGACAAATGATTTGACTCTCCCGATCCCAGCGGAAGCGACATCGCGGCTACTCACCAGCGAGGGCGCTTCAAACGGAAAGGCGTCTGTTCCTGTGGTAGTAGGGGAGAGGAAGATAACAGAGGAATCGCCATTGCTTCAAACACCCAGGATGCGGCGCCCGTTCTCTAACCCCCCCGAGGTCGGCGCAAGTTGATGGTAGTTGTGGCAGTTGTGGACAGAAGCTCAGAAGTTCAGCAGTCAGTTTTCATGTCTTGATACTTGCTGTTCCACAATCGTTTATCAATGTATAAAAAGTGCCTCAAGAAGTAGACGCTGGCGAAGGCGACTACGGCCGCGCAGATCCTGTCCGCGCTCGGCTGGGCACCGTCCGTTCACTGCCCTGCCCTGCCCTGCTCACTTTGACTCCCACACCGACGCCCGCGTGCGGTCCGTCCTGCTGCCCGTTCTACAGGCAGGCGAGGCTCCGAAGACGGGTGAAGGCGGGCGACCCGAGCCCCGTCGCGGCGTCCCAGCCCCGGTCCGCGGGCCACCCGGCCCCGGGGATGTGCGGCGAGGGCGTGCCCGCGTACGACGTTCCCGGGCAGCCGCTCGTCTTTCCCGTCGTGATGCTGCGCGCGCGGACAACTTACTCGGTGAGGCCGAAGCGGCCGGCTTGGTACAGCCACGGGTTGAGGAGGCCGAGCGTCGGCCTTCCCTTTTCCGCGCGGAGGCTGTTTATCACGGCAACCATGGCGGCCACGACGGGTGCGGAGGCGCTTCTGCAACGTCAGTAGTCTGATTTCCATAACAAAAAACAAAAGGGGTCCTCGTCTGCCCCTGCTTCATCACGTACCTCGTTCCGTCGGCGCTCTCGACCTTGCCGTGGTTGTAGATTTGATAATTCTGCCCCAGCGCTGCCACATCCGGGATGCCCCTCCCCTTCTCGTTGTACAGGCCCTTCCGCTGCGCGCCGTGCTTCGCCAGGTACCCCTCCACCGCGGCGGCCTGCCACTTCGGCCGCTCAAAGTACTCGGAGAAGCCGCCCCCGGACAGCTCCATCGCCGACTCAGCCGCAGCGACCCCGGTGGTCGCGCCGACAGCCGTCACGTACGGGCATGTGGCCGGGAACGCGGGCAGGAAGCGCGGCGCGCCGGAGCCATCGTTGGATTGGCAGGACATGCCCGGGCCGAAGTCGCCGGAGGCGACGACCACGGAGACGCCGCGGGCGGCGAGCTGACCAAAGAGGTCGCAGGAGTGGCGCGCGTAGTCGCGCGAGAGGAGCTGCTCGTTGACACCGTACGAGATGGACAGCACGGAGGGCATGTCCGCGTCGGGCAGCGCGGCGAGGGCGGTGGCGAATGCGAGATAGGGCTCCGTGAAGCCGCTGCCCTTCGGAAGGCTGTTTTGCCAATGTTAGCGGAGGGGGACGGGGGGAGGGGGGAGGAACGCACTCGAGATCGGGGATGTAGTCAGAGTTCATGCCGCCGACGGAGAGGAAGCGCACGTCGACGTTAGCGCCAGCCAGGGCCACGGCGTACTGGATGTCCAGGTTGGCCTCGCCGGACGGATACGCGCCCTGCGGGTTGCTGCCGCCGAGGAGGAAGGCCTCGGAGAAGTTGGCGCCGGCCCGCGAGGGGTCAATGTGCTTGAAGAAGAGGTCCAGGTCTTGGCGCTGCGCGGTTTGCTGTACACAAGTTTCGGGTCAGTCTCAGTCTTTTGTTTGCTCAGGGTTTCGGCAACGTTGGGGTGACACTCACGTTGCCGAAGCCAAGGACTCCCAGGATGGTCTTCTTGGATGTGCGGGGGATGTTCTTCATCTGGTACTTTTCTCGGAGGCACGCGGGCGTGAACTGGGCGTCGCAGCCGTCGAGCTTAGGGTTAGCCGTAGACTTGTTATCCTTGCTGTCTACCGACAATAACAGCTTCAGGGACTGGTGGAGGCGGGGATGCGCGGGCCATGGGCTCCGCGTCTCGATGTCTCCTCCTACGTCCGGCCTGTCGAGGTAGACGGCGCGAATGTGCCGCCGGACCGCCTCATCTGCGAGCGCCTGGCCGCCCGACAGTCCATCGTCATCATCATCCGCCGCCCTCTTCCGCAGCACAGCAGCAGACTGGCTTGGCGAGACGGTGGCGTGCAGGAGCTGTCCGCGGCGCTCAATGTCCTCGTCGCGCAGGCCGGTAGCATCACGCAGCCAGGCGGTCACGGCGGCAAGCGCCTTGGGGCTGGGCTCCAGAAGGGCGGCGGCCTCCTCGCGGGAGAGGTGCCGGCCGTGACGGGGGCTCGCGGGATCAGATAGCTCGTGGAGGGTGCGCGGGAGCAGCGTCTCGTCGCCGGGGATGAGGCTGACGGTGAGTCGTCGCGCGGCGGTGGTGGGATGGGCGTCGGCCGCAAGAGAGATGGCGGCTAGGCAGGCGGCGCCGCGAACGAGACGTAGCAGCAGTGATGTTGTAGGCATGATTGTTGGTGTTGTTGTATGGTGGTGACAGCGATCATGTGCTGTGTGGGGGGGGACAGCAGAAGGAGGGACGAAGAGCAGGCTATATACAGCCCGTTGCGGTGTGACCAGAGCGGATGCGGATGCATGCAGAAGCTGTCAAGGTAGCCGTGTTGGCCGTACGAGAAAGTCATGGTGATGATCCATCATGGGGAGGGGGGTGTAGTTGGTCGAGAGCTTGGGCGCAAAATGAGCATGTTGGTATTGTTGTTGGCGGCACGGCCCAACGTGACAGGGGTTGGAGAGACACAAAAGCTGCAGGGCTGGCTGGTGGAGTGACTGATTTCCAGGGATGATATTGTTGGTTGTTTCTCTTCGTCATCTTGCCATTCTTCTTCGTGTAACCACACCGTAAAAGGGGGGGGGCGAGGGGCCGATGTGCTAAGAGGGAGGGACGCAAGGCGCCGTCGTTTGTATGGGGTGAGGCTGATGCTGAGGTTGGAAGGTGATGATGTTGGTGAGATCGGGCACAGTGCTATCGCTTACTGTACACATTTTCATCATCCTGACAGTTCTCAGATGAGAGAGGTTGATTGTTGATGAGATATTGAAATGAAGCCTTGAATGTTAAGACAGCAGGCCAGGTGTCCTCAGGTCGGCGAATTCCAAGACAAATGGGATTCCAAATAAAACCGAGTGCGGAAAACAAGAGCAACCACGGAATGATCCCGTCTTCCTCTCCAGTCCTGCGCTCTGCACGAAAATTCTTCCGTTTTATGCTGGCGTCCGCGTCCAGCCTCCTAGGTTCAGCGCAACGCGGCTCGACACCTTTTGGACGGCAAGACGCAGACTTGACCGCCATCTTTCCTCGCTATTATTCCTGGACTTACCACTGGCCACGCCTCACCAAACTCGGGTACGGGAGCTGGCAACGGGAGCTGGCGACGGCCGCAATGGGGCCGCAATGGACGGGCGCCCCGAGGCCCCGAGACTTTGCAGTCGATGCACTGGTCGGGCTGAGGACACTGTGCTCAATGCAACTTCGAAGCTCAAGGATCATGGCATGAGAATCCAAGTCCAGTCGCTGGTAACTACGCCTTGATCGCGATGGGATGAGTTACCCAACGCAACCTACGTTGGTGGCTGGGGGCGGATGGCGGAACAGCCATTCTTTTCTTTTGACTTTTTGCAGGTTTTCTTCTTGTACCTGAACGCTGCTCTATATGTGACCAACATCACCGACTTACTTAGACAGGCGTTGAGGTGTTGCTTGCTGCCAGTTGCGGCATCTACACCATGTCGATTGCCTCTTTCTTGTCCGGGCAGCTCTTTGCACCGTGCGATACAGACCCCAAAGATCTATCGAAATGATGGATAATTTTACGTATTACGAGGCTTCAGCTTTGCAACGCCATCTCTTGAGAGCACGTAGTCTTGGTCCACCCCCCAATGCCTAGTATTGTTCTCCCCCGCCCCTCGTCAAGTGAGCCGCATCCGACATGAGGCTGTGGAGAGATAAGGGTCTGCCTATTCTTGGACCGACCCGATAACAAGGTGTCATGTAAGCCCGGAAAAGAAGGGAAACTGTGCAGTGACAATCGTTGCCTTGCATTGTTTGCGTTGTCTCTTTCCCCCCGGCTGCGGGCATGGTCTTACTCACGCCCGCAGCCTTCGCTCTTGGCTGCTGCCGCGTTATTCGCGCGGCTTGTTGCAGGATGAATAACTCGGAAAATGAATCAAAGCACTAGTTACTACCTCTGTCTGCACCTTGTATTGTTGGTATGGAGCGTCTACCACACACAAGCACGCCGACGCTCTAGACGCTATCGTGACTCAGAATTCTACTAAGAGTCTTTGCATAGTAGCTCTGAAGCTGACTATAAAAATAGTGGTAAAAGGATTGAGGATAATTGTGACAATGATATCAATGATGATATTGGTGTTGGTGTTCATGACGATGGCCTTGGTGATGTAACTCTATGACCTCCATATCTAAGCAGTAGACAAGGCTATTATTATGCCTGAATTTCTAAATATTGTACTTAATCTAGCCATTATCTGAGACCATTCTTGGCATACATACATTCATGTAGGTCACATTTCGGCTGACCATGGCAGCGCATGCACGATAGCTCAACAAATGTTCCGCATGAATCAGTACGCTGATGAGGCTGCTGCTGAGACCTCGGGACCAGGTCGTTGGTTGGCAAAGAAAGCAACAAGACAACGGTATGAAATACTTATTTATATTGATTAAATATCTTTGCTATAAAGCTATAATTTTCGCGGTAAAATTCAACTTGATAACCACAATTAGGTAACCGAGAGTTGTTGGCGTCGAATCAACCAACCGCCCCAGATCGCTCCAGCAGACGGACGGCCTCACCACCAAAAATCTCTGTCACCACCAAAACCTCACCACGCAACCTGCATCACCAACCTCAACCCTCTACCCCGCCCCCAACGTATACGCCACTTGCCGCGCTCTTCTTCCACTTCCTCAGCCTGCTGTTCAGCCCATCCGTGCCTAGCCTTCTCACTAACGCCCTTTGCTGCATCGAGCCCCCGCCACACCACAGACGCCTCCCCAAATCATCAACAACATCCCATCCATCCTCCACCATGGCTCAGCCGCACTCCTCCCTTCTCGACCCGTCCATCTTCGCCAGCCTCGAGACTAAGCTCGAGGAGGAGACGCACATTCGCGACGCCCTCGGCCAGATCCTGCAGCGCCTCGAGCGCTCCGTCGGCGCCGCCCAGGGCCTGCTCACAAAGGTGCACTCGACGCCTCGCGACAGCTGTGCGTTCCCTTCATTTTCCCTCGTTTCTACGGATAACACCAGGACTTTTTTTTTTCTTTTTTGCTGACACTTTATTGCCCAGATCCCCAATTGGTCACCCAGCTCGAGGCCGCCGTCAAGGATGAGGCCGTCATCGTATCGGAGCTCGACGAGCTCGCCTCCAAGCACCCCTACTACAAGTTCCGTCCCTCCGCAACCTCCCTCCGTCCCCTCCCCCTCGTTTCTCTCACTAACCTCTCCTCCCAGGTACAACTCCCGCTGGTCACGCACCATGCAAAACGCCATCGGCACCGTGCTCTACACCGCCTGGCTCGGCGGCTTCCCCCACCTCACCTCCCCATCCTCCACCTCCGCCACTGTCGGCCAGCTGCTCACCCTCGAGCAGGTCGGCGCCGTCTTCGCCGTGCCCGTCAACATCAAGGACCGCGACGCCTTCCACCTCACCATCGAGGAGTACCTGCTCGCCCTCACCGACCTCACCCAGGAGCTCTCCCGCCTCGCCACCAACGCCGTCACCCTCGGCGACTTTGCGCTGCCCCTGACCGTCAGCGCCTTCCTCAAGGACCTCTTCGCCGGCTTCCAGCTGCTCAACCTCAAGAACGACATCCTGCGCAAGAGGGCCGACGCGGTCAAGTACGACGTCAAGAGGGTCGAGGACGTCGTCTACGACTTGAGCCTGCGCGGCCTCGTCCCCAGACCGGGCGCCCCCGCGGCCGACGCGGAGATGAAGTCGGAGTGAACGAAAAAGGAAGAGAAAGGGGCACATCATCATCAAATGTATGTATTTAGCTTTAAACAATCACGCCATTTACCGGTTTCCAAGGATCATCTTCTGTGCCATATATGTGCAATATTGAAGCGAATATGTATTCCACCGCATTGTAGTCCTGATAAGTCCCTCTCCAGAATAGCAGTGACATTGTTTCCTCCCGATAAAAGCTACTCCAATAAAACGGTATCTTGGTACATGGTTCAGATCTGGGGCCTTGGAATCCCATGGTACAAATGAAAAAGCAAATAGAGGAAAAAAGAATACAGTGTTCCTAGAAGCAATGAAAGCTCAACCAGCCCAAACATGGCTCTAGCGCCAAATGACCAAACGCCGAGATATGATGTTTTCCCCAACACCTTTTTCCATTATTGATAAACCATCGGACCCGGTGCCTCAGTCGTGGCGGAATGTGCACATATCTCCACGAGCACACTTGCCCTGCTGCCAAAACGTGCATGCCTTGGTGCCAATCAGCGCCTTGTTGGCTGGCTTGTGCGGTGGCAGGGTCGCCTTCTTCTTGTTGCGGTTGTCACGATACGGATCCTCTCGTCCGCCATCACCGCGGCCCCGGTCTCGGTCCCAGTCGCGTCCACGCCCGCGGTCCTGCTCCTGATCATCGTCCCTCTCCCAATCGTGATCCCTGTCCCCACCAGACGCCTGCGACTGCGGTTGCTGCTGAGCCTGCTGTTGCGAGACCTGTCCTTGTGCCATTTGCAGCATCATTTGGTACGCAGCATCGCCACTCGACTGGCTAGGCTGTGGTGGGCCCTGGTTAATGGCCGATAAAATAGACTGCAGCTGACTATCATTCATCTGTGATTGCTGCTGCGGTAGTGCAGGGGGTACTGCTGCATTTCCACCATTCATTTGTTGCAGGATCGCCATATACGGGGCAAATTCTTGTTGCTGCGCATATGACCAATCTTGCATCCCCTGTGCGATAGCCACCGGTCCGGCCTCCGCTGCAGCTCTTGCACGTCTCTCCTCTTCTCTGCGCTGTCTTGCAGGTGCTTCCTTGTTGTAGCCAAACCACCACTCCTTTACCTTGTCTTCGTACTGAAGCATCCAGTCAGGAGGGGCGTTAGCAGGATAGGACTTTCCTTGTAGGTACTGCGCGACAGCTTCGATAACGTGGCCGGCAGCCTGGGAGGATGCGTCCGCATACCGATGTGGGCGTGAGATATCTCCATGGACAGGGTTCGGGTCGCGCCAAACAGCAATCTTATCTGAGCGAAGCCATGCAAGAATGCCCTCTTCTGCGGCGAGACCAGTAATCAGAGGAACGTTGCTTGCCGCTATCGAAATCGGTTGTTGGGCTGCAGCAGTGGCAGCGGCCGATTGGCTGGCAGACACAGCAGGATCGCTGTTCCGAAGGCGTCCAAGGATCGCGTCGAGTTTGCTGGCAGGAGTCTGCTTGGCTTGCAGGCGCTGAACAGCCGCCAGCAATGCCTGATCAACACCCATCTGCTGCTCGTCAGCCCAGCGACGCTGGATTTCAGCGAATTTGGCGTCTTCGCTCGGCAGCTGCCCAACCTTGCCCTGAATTGCGGATGTTGCAGACTCTAGGGGCGGTGATTTGGGTGTCGGCGGAATGTCGCCGGGATCGGTGTAAATGGCCATGAGCTCCCGCTGCTCCCTCTCCGCAATGCGCTTCTGTTCTTCGGTCGAAAATGTAACTGTACCACCGCGAGTGACAAAGTTCTTGCTTCTGATCTCCGCTGAGAGCCCGGAAAAGTCCGTCTCAACGGGGCCAAGCCATGGTTGATAGGGCACATCGTCATCTTCGTCATCTTCGTCCATGCCGACTCGTTGCTTCAGCATCATGCCTTCGGACTTGTCATCAGCAGCATCGCGAATCATGTTCATGGCGCGGCCTTCGTCCTCGTTGGCGTCCTTCTGGAAAATCTTGACCTGTACGAGATCATGATCCGGCTTCCACGAAACACGCAGTTTGCGACGCTCCAGTTTTCGCAGCCGCTTTGCCTTCTCTGCGGGGGTTTCAGTGTCATCCTCAACCTCTGCTTCCTTAGTAGCCATTGCAGCCGCCGCGGCCTCCGCCTTTGGTGCGTTAATGGAGTCCAAGAGGGATGCGATACCAGAAAGTGCACTAGACGTTGCCGAGGTCGCTGATTTAGGAGGCGGCGCCTTGGCGAGATCGCTCTTGCTATCGGATACTTTACGGGCAGGAGCTTTTGGTTTTTCGTCACCAGAAGCCGCAGGGCTGCCTACGCTGGCTGGGCCCTCCAGCTTAGTGGTTGGTTTGGCTGCTGGTCGACTCTTGCCAGGCAAAATGGAGCTCGCCACAGGCTTGGGAACAGCCTGTGGTTGCGCTTTTGGTTGGGCGAGCTTCTTGAGTAGCGAGCTGCTGTTTGGTGGCTCGACAACAATTTTCTTCGAAGTCCGGCTGTCCGAATCATCTTCCCGGCTTCTCTTTATCGTCGTATCGGTAACCGATTTGGCCGCAGCTTTAGCCCTACTAGCAGCCGATGTGCCTGTGTATCCAGTCGCCGTCTCAGACTCGCTTACTTTCATGACCTTTTTAATCTTGGCGTTGATGTCTTGGATAATCTCTTTGACATCAGCGTCACCCTTGTCACCAAAACGCTTGCGAACGGTTTCGAAGTTCGTTGTGTCGACAATCTTCTTCGTCATGCGGAAGAGCGAAATGAGCTCCAGCACGATTTTCGGTAGCTTGCCTGAAAAGTCCGCGGCCTTGACGCAAGCAATCAGCGCATTGACGAGGCTCAGAATGAGCTTGTGGTGTCCTCCCAGATTATCCAAGACGGCGTCATCAGCATGCTCAACTATCGAGTCCAAAGCACGAAAAAAGGCTTCCTTTCTCTGTTCGTAATTGGCTTTAATGACCACAATCTCGGACTCCAGTTTCTTATCTTTCGTTGCTTGGTCCAGCTCTTGCTTTGCCTTGTGCATTTCGCCCCGCAACTTTATAATTAAATCTCCCGCTTGCTGCACTCGCTGCGCAATTAACGAGCTTGTGCGCGCAACGGATTGGTCGAGATGCACGATACCAATTGCATCCCAACTTGCGGCCTCCACCGGATCTGTTGGTCGAACAGCAGAGCGAATAGACTTATTCTGGTCGCCCTCTAGCTCCTTCTTGGCCTTCTTTCCAGCCTTGTTCCTAACTGCCTCGTCTGATTTCATTTGCTCCTTAAAGGCGTGAGGATACTCTGTGTACTTGGGCCGACGCTTGCCCATGGCTTTCATGGACCCTTCAAATTGATCCAAAAGGTCCTTTGCTTCCATGCGTCTTTCATTTAGGCCAGCTCGATCCGGCGCTGGGCGGTACTGGCTTGTGAATTTTCCTTGGATTTCGCAGGGTAGGCTATAGCCCAGTTCAGGGACCATGGCCTTTCCAGATCTTGGCGGTAGGGTCACGAGGGGGGCGAGCTTATCGAAGCTCTTGGGCGCTGGCATCTTCATGCTGCCATCGAATACAAGGTGCGGCAGGCCATTGATGGACGGATATTTGACTTGTGCGGATTTACTGCGTTTGCTAAATTTGGCAAGTCGCTCTTGGTCTTCGGCCGAGGGTACAGGAACAGGATATGCATCCATGTCTTCAACCTTCTTTGCCGGCGTATCTGATACCGAATCCTGTGTCGCTTCGGAGCTCGAGTCGGGAGTTTTCGTGGTCCTTTTCCTTTTCTTAGCAGCAAGGCCTGTTGCATCAAGAGGCGAAAATGCGTTGACGGCGTATTGTATATTTTGTTGCGTGGCATTCTGCTGGACAGCAGTCGGTTGTCCTTGGAAGGTATGGATGCCATCTTGGTAGGCTTGTCTTTGCGGCTGGGGCGAATTTACTTGCTCGTTCTGTAATTGATATGGCTGCCTTTGTGCGGGATAATTCATATGCGGATCGGTTTGATACTGTGCTGGTTGACCGGTAGGCGGCGGAACGAGCCCTGGACTATGGCGATACGCGCCCTGCGGCGTGACGACTCGTTGTGGTTGTACTGCGGCTTGTTGGGTTTGCGGGAAAGCTCCATACTGCTCTGGCTGTCGGTTGACCGGATGTTGTTGCAGATGCGATTGCGTGAATGGTTGCTGGTGAAAGGTTGCATTTCCTGGCGGAAATGAATAGTTATGCGGAGCAAACGCCTGCCCCTCGTCTAGTTGATTGGTATTCGCCCCGGCATTGGGCTTGGCTCCATGTGCATACAGATTAGGATGTACATTATGGAAAGCAGTATCGATGGCATCCTGGTCTTGTTGGCCGTACGGCTGGGTCGAAAATGTAGGTTGATTCGTGGGACTACCGTGCGCTTGCATGTAGGGATTGCTGGATGCAGAGGACGCGTCGAAGAATGCCGCAGGGTCTTGATGGAGGTGTGAAAAGTCGGCCGTTTGGCCCGCCATCTGCTGGGCCCATTGCTGATTCGGGTCGAAGGCGGCTCCTTGGTCGGCAAAGGCAAAGCTAGATTGCCAGGCGTCCTGCCCGCCACCGTCGTCTTGGCTAGGATTGGGCCACGACTGCATTTTAACCGAGGGGTATTATATATGGCAGCATGGGCAATTCATCAGCGTATCGAAAGAACGAGCTATTACTAAAAGCTGGCATCAGCAGACGACATCGCTAGCCGCAGCCCACCGCGGTAATGGTGTTGAGAAGACCAAGATGGCTGGCGCGAGGAAGCACTTCAGGTGGGTGGGACAAGTAAATGGAGTTGGAGAGAGCGACAGGTACTTACTCGCTTTGACTTGGGGCAAAGTTACTTGTGGACAGGGAGTGTGGTGTGCGGCAGGAGCGCTAGTCCAAATCGGGGGTATAAGGATAGGGATGGGCAAAAGCTTGCAAGGGCTGACGCCAACACCGCGCGACAACGATCTGAGAAAGGACAAAATTAGCCTGATCAGTCTTTAAAAAGTATTGCGTCAATGTGAAGATGTGAGAATTTGAGGCGCGGATAGAAAGTGGCAATGTCAGTCGGCGAGCTGTCCTGTGGCATCTGATGACCGTGGCGCGGGCCACTGCAGCTTTGACGGATTGGCCCAACCATGTCAGGCCGTAGGCAGGCACTCAAGAGCAAAGCGACTGAACTTGAAGAGCTCGCGACCGTACTCTGCGGGATGCTTGATTAAAATTTTCGTGCCCAACGCCCACTGTAAGATGGTTCCTGCCGCCGCCGTTCTGCTAGGTCTTCCCCAAGGTGTACAACGTCGAACGACGGAGCACACCTCTGGCCACATGCCAAGGCTCTCGCATCTCAGAAGCCGCATCAAGCGCATCAAGAAACGTTCGAGCAGCTCCAAAATAAAAGAGTACAAACCAGAGAGGCTTTTGCAACGCCAGTCCCAAGTTCACCTTCGGTTCACCGTTCACCGACTCTGCGCATCAAGCCAACACCAATCTGGGGACCACAAGGTGACACGCGAGCAAGCGCTGAAGCGTTTTGTTGCTATTTAATTGGCCAGCACCTTATTCTTGCCGTGGTTATCCACAGGAGGCCAGGAATCACAATATACAATCGATGAATTCGGTTTATGTACCAGGCGTAGCGAGCGAAACGGCCCCTGGGAAATCGGGTGCGGGTGTGGGAGATGTATCAGTAGCCAGGAGGAGATGAAAGAGAAGCATACCCAATTAATCCTTCTATGCAATGCAGTTTAATCAAATTAGGCGATTTGGATGGATGGAGTTGCGCAATCGTTGTTCTCTGGAGATGCTGAAAGTATATGAAGCCAGCGCAGATGACGAGCCCCGACAAACGCCGTGGCGACAGTTTCAATACTGTAAGGAGAACAGAATGGGTGGAAAACAACGGATGCAGCGCCAGTATCGGCAATAATGTTATCTGCAATGCCGTAATTTTCGCGAGACCTCGCGGCGCTGGATTAATTGCGACCGAAGGTCTTGTTGATGGTATCGTGGATGATGGAGATGCGATCAGCAGAAAGCTTTGGCTGGTCAATAAAACTAGGGGAAAGGGAGAGGGTGTTCTCTGCCTGGTATATGAGGCAGAAAATATGCTTTGGCCAGAGACGCTAATTTCCACTACAGCGCCTTCAGAGTTACTCTATAGCGGCCTGCTGCCTAGATCCACTGCAGCTTGCTTCCTTCCAGCGTCCGAGGCTGCTAATTCGACAGCGGCTCAGCCTTTGCTAGACAGGCCAGTTCAACCGCCGCCTGCTCACCTCCGTTCGTTGTTGGTGGGGTTCCAAAGCTCCAAGTTGTGCGCCTCGGAGCTGTCATCGTGGCCTTTCGCACGACAACATCAACCTCTGTCTCTCAGTATCTCGCGCATGGCACTGTCTGCCGTCTCCAGTGGCAAGACATCAATTTGCCTCTTTGAAGCTCCGCGGTGGAAACATTCGCATCCCATACGCTGACCACTACTACTCCTCTACGGCAAGCGTTGACCATGGCGACCAAAGGAAACAGCTTGCGAGATCGCCAGATCGGTATGCTCACGACAATCCTATAACTCCTCGCTTCGGCCATTCTAATACTACCCAGCGTCGCTGAAAAAGATTCTCAACCTCAACGAAACGGTCGAGTCGGGCGAGGCCGAAGAAGTCCTCGCAAATGGCCTCCACGCCCCGGTGGCACCCATCCTTGACGCCGATGGCAACCCGATTTGGAAAGTCCTGGTTTTTGATGACCTGGGCAGAGACGTCATTAGCAGTGTGATGCGTGTGTCCGACCTGCGCTCCATGGGTGTCACCATGCACATGTAGGCGCAGTAACATCGCCGGTTGTCCGTGGCTCGCTAATCATGAATAGGCACATTGGAACCGTCCGCCACCAAATTCCCGACGTACCGGTTATTTACCTGGTAGAACCTTTACCACAAAACATGCAAGCAATTACTGCTGATTTGCAAAAGGGGCTCTATTCGCCTGCTTATATCAACTTGCTTTCGTCAATGCCGCGCGTCGTTCTGGAAGACTTTGCAACTCAGACTGCCACTGCGGGAACATCAGAGAACATCGCCCAGTTGTTTGATCAGTACCTCAACTTCATCGTTGCGGAGCCAGATCTGTTCAGCCTGGGCATGCAAAAGGATCACACCTACTGGGCACTGAATAGCGCCAAGACTAGCGACGAACAATTAGAAGCTGTTGTTGACAGAATAGTCAGCGGTCTCTTCAGCGTAATTGTTACCATGGGTATGCATCATGTGAAAGCCGACACCGTGACTCAAAACTAATGAAGACGGCATGTAGGCGTCATTCCCATCATCCGCTGTCCAAAAGGCGCCGCTGCAGAAATGGTAGCACAGAGGCTCGACCGAAAGCTCCGTGATCATATACTCAACTCCAAAGACAACCTTTTCTCAAGTGCAAAATCGGCAGCGGCAAGCACACCGCAGTCCCGACCAGTCCTCATTCTACTCGATCGCAATGTTGATTTGATCCCGATGCTCTCGCACTCCTGGACCTATCAGTCTCTCGTCCATGATGTTTTGAATATGAAGCTTAACCGCATCACAATCGAAACTCCGGTTGATGAAAACAACCCAGGCAGAGGGACTTCAAAGAAGGCTTACGATCTCAATGCTAGCGACTTCTTCTGGGCCAAGAATGCGCCTGTACCGTTTCCGCAAGTTGCCGAGGATATCGATGCCGAACTCACCAAGTATAAAGAAGAGACGGCTGCGATTACAAAGAAAACCGGCGTCTCTAGTCTGGAAGATTTGCAGAACGATACCAGCGCCAGCGCTCAACATCTCAAGGCAGCTATAACGTTGCTGCCCGAAATGAGAGAGCGAAAGGGCGTTCTGGACATGCACATGAACATCTTAGCCTCGCTTCTGTCTGGGATCAAGGACCGTCAGCTAGACAATTTCTTCCAAGTAGAGGAGAATGTCATGAAACAGACCAAGGCTCAGATCATGGAAATCATCAAAGATCAAAACAAGGGCAACGACTCCACAGATAAGCTACGACTGTTTGTCATCTGGTTTCTCAGTACCGAGCAAGAAGTCGCTCGAGCCGACTTTGAATCGTTTGAGAAAGCGCTTGCCGAAGCCGGAGCTGATGTTTCGTCCTTGTCCTACGTTCGACAGTAAGTTACAGATGTATCACAAGACAGAAATTCCGGCTAATGAATTTTAGGGTTCGCGCCACGACAAAAATGACGCAGCTTACGACAATTAACAACAATTCCAATCAGAATGCCTCGTCCGATCTATTTGGTCGATTCTCATCTATTTCCTCACGCCTCACCGATCGCTTAAAGGAAACAGGCGTGCCAACCGGCCTTTCATCCAACTTCGAATCCCTAATCAGTGGCGTCAAGAACTTTCTTCCTGCTGACCGAGATCTCACCATCACCAAGATTGTAGAGTCCATCATGGAGCCGGCCACCGCCTCCTCCTCGGCGATTGCCAAGACAGAACACTACTTGTACTTTGATCCACGGTCTGCCAATGCTCGAGGTACTATGCCGCCTCCCAGCACCATGCGAGCTGGCGGAAATGCGCCCGGAGGCATGCCAGGTCAGGCCGGTCCCGGACAGTCCGCAAGCTTTGGTCAAAGGCGACAAGGTTTCAGCGAGGCTGTAGTGTTTACCGTTGGGGGTGGCAGCATGGAAGAGTACGGTAACTTACAGGAATGGGTCACGAGAGCCGGTGGCGAAAAGACGAAAAAGAGAGTGGTATACGGAAGTACTGAGCTGCTTAATGCCAGGGAATTTATATCAGAGGAGCTGGAGCGTCTCGGAAAAGAGCTTTCGTCATGATTTGAGAGCTTGAAATGTCGCCTATTCACATACTTTTTGTTAGTAATTCACTGCAGCGGTAAAGCAGTGGCGCTCTTCCATCCTCAAGACTTCATAAACCCGTGACTGCGAACTTGTTTGGAGGCTCTACTATAACTTCGTACCTTACTAGGCGGAGCGTAACTTGACCAAGATGGTTCATTAAAACACCTCCATAATTATCGCTGAGGCGCGTTAGGCTTGGCAATAAGGCGAAGCTGATTGCGAAAGAATGTATTATTGACAAATGACCATGATCATATTCCTTGCCCTTTGTTTTCTTTTGAGCGTTGGATATATGTTTGCAGTTGCTGCTCAACTTCCTACCAAAGTGCCAGCTTGGCAGACGAACCAGTACAACACATTGCATATACCAAGATTACACATTGAAACTCATCTGGTAGCTCTATCAATTCTAAAGTCTTAGTCCACCAATGATATGTGATACGTATCGAGTATCCTTTTTAATGCACCTTGGTAAAAACTGGTAAATGCGCAGCTATCTACCGGGTAAGTGCGGCCAGGCCTAGAGTGCGCGACGATACCCACAGCGCCCTCGACATGGTGTCAGTCTGCTCCTCAGAGCTGGCTACTAGAGGCGCCTCACAAGCAAACCCTTTCTTGCCCTCTCCATATCCGTTACATCCCCCATCCCTCCCTGCGCTTTCATCCAAATCCATTTTCCATCTCGCTTCCACATCCATCAAAACCTAACGCGTGGACATCACCTGCTTCCGTTTTTCCATCGAAACTTGACCATCGCGTCGCATTCATCGTCCAATTCAAAAACGCCGTTCGCGCTGCGCGGCCAAAAAGCCACGCCAGGGGAGTGCTTGCCAACAACCGCCCGCAGTGTTGCAGCCCCAACGCGCAGAGTCCCCCCTCTGTCGTCCCATTCATTTTTTTTCGACCGAATCTACAATACACATCCGCAATGGAAGACTTACAACCAAAGACGGAGCCCACTGCGGAGCGCAAGGCCGTCGGCTACAAGTCATGGAAGAAGAAGTATCGAAAGATGCGCATCGTGTTTGACCAAAAGATGCAGAGCGGCGAAGCGCTGCACAAGCAAGAAGCAAAGACTTCGGCTACAGTGAAGCGTCTAGCCGTCGAAAATGAGTATGTTTTCCCCTTAATCTATTGAGATGCTACCGGCGTGTTGTCAACCGCTGACCCAATCACTTCTAGTCGTCTCCTTGACATCCTCCTTGACATCAACAACTCTGCCCAGATTCCCCTCGATAAGCGCATAGACGTGGCTCTCATACCAGCCGGCGATGTCAAAACCCCCAGCCTCGCCATCGACCGCGAGCGCGCGTCGGAAAAGGCCGCCGCCCTCAAGAAGCTCGAGGAGCTCCTCACGGCAGTGCCACACATCAACTACAACACGGCGAAGACTGCCAACTCAGCCATCGTCGAGGACCTAACAGTAGCTTCCGGCGAGTCGCATCCGGTCAGCTTTCTAACCGCAGACGACGTCGACGACTACATCTTCACGGTTGACAGCGCCCTCGAGACCGTCGCCCACCTCCCGTCACTCGCGCCCCGCGCCCACCCCAACAGCCATCTCTCGTCACACCCGCATCTCAAGAACCCGACCAGCGTCACAAACTGGCTGCGAAAACACGCCCCCAAAGTCTTCCTCCAAGACGGCGAGGCGCATGATGATGCCGACGCCCCAGGCGGTGGTGCCGCTACCGCCGATGGAGGTTCTGCGGGAGGCCACGGCAACGGCCCTAGCGCACGAAAGTCCCGCGGCGGACGGGGTGAGCGCGGCGGCAAGCCGTCGGCACGAGGTAAGCGCGCGAGCGGCGTGTCTTCGTCCCGCACAAGCAACGCCACCGCCGCTGCCGCCGCCGGGCCGGACAAGAGCGACAAGGGCGACGCGGATGGCAGCATGGACGAAGACCCTGACTACGGCACGCCCGTCGGCCGTGGCAAGCGCAAGAGAAAGGATGACGCTGGGTATAGGCCCGGCGGCTCGGCTAGTAGACCGTCCAAGAAGAAGCGTAAGAGCGACGTCGACACGCCGAGCGGACGCCGTGTGAAGAAAGAAGTTGCTGAATAATGACCCTGCTTTTTCGGACGAGTTCTGGACTCGTATGATGATGGAGGAAGACAAGCTTCGTGGCAGCGGGTGGGCAGCAGAGGCAGCAGCTCTTCCCCGGAATCGGAAGCGGAGAAATACATGCTTGGGATGGATGGAGTTGATGGTTCTTCTTGAAAGGGTTTCTGAAAGGGTTTGTTTCACTTTTCTTGCTTTAGAACAGTTTTGCTGTTCATTTTTCTTTTTGAGATAAAGAGTTTTGTTTGCTACATATATAATGTCGCCCGTTCACCCACCGCCGGTCTGCCACGACGCACAAACCAAATGCAAATGGTATACAAGAGCTGTCGGGCAAGGAGAAAAAAAACGCACACGCAAAAAAAAAGCTGGCAATCAAAGGGCGGAGGGCAACATTTGGGGGGAAAACATGCATGATCACAAGGACCGGATGCACAAAACGGAGGAAAGGCGCAAACAAGTGGGAATTCAGTGACACACGCAGCAGATGCACCGTTGAGAGATGGTCAGGGAAGGGGGGCCGGGATTCATGTACTTTTAGAAGCGATTTTAATTTGATCTTAGAAAAATCCAGAATGAGGTTTGCAAAAAACTTTCTCGTAATATGTCACATTGTTTAAAGATATCTATGAACGACTTGTTGTTTAAGAACATGTATATTCAAAAATCCCACATCTCGGGGGAATGGCTGACATGGCGGAAGTGTTTTGTGGTATATAGTATTCAATCCCGTTCTATCCTGTCACACATGCTTTTTTTGGTCGTTTTGTCTTTTTTGCACGCCTTGCGTTGTTTTTTGTCGTTGATCCTGCCGTGGCGTGCTTCCGATGCCGGAGAGGCATGTCGCTCGCTGCGGGTCTGCTTGTTCAGCAGACGGGTTGCATCGTTGTGCTCCATTTTCATGGGATTGCGAACAGATGCGAACCGAGAAGTCAGTGGTCAATAAAACAAGAGTTATAAAATCGCGGGCTATTTATGCATTAAACTTTTCGGTGTGCCTTTACCAAGGGCGGGCTGCAGCTGTTTTTTCTAAATTCTTTACAGCTTGCCCTGGGTGAAGCTCTGCTTGAGGCGGCGCTCCACCGCGTTGAGGTACTCGGTGGTGGTGACGTAGTCCTCGCGGCCCGTCTTGCCGCAGGCGAGGGCCAGATCCTTGGTCATGACGCCGTCGACGTCGACGGTGTCGATGCAGGCGCGCTCGAGGGCCTCGGCGAAGGCGACGACGTCCGGGGTGTCGTCGAGCTTGCCACGCTGGACGAGGCCGCGGGTCCAGGCGAAGATGGAGGCGATGGGGTTGGTGGAGGTCTCGCGGCCCTTTTGGTGCTCGCGGTAGTGGCGGGTGACGGTGCCGTGGGCGGCCTCCGACTCGAACGTCTTTCCGTCGGGGGTGATGAGGACCGAGGTCATAAGGCCGAGGGAGCCGAAACCCTGGGCGACGACGTCGGACTGGACATCGCCGTCGTAGTCTGCGGTTGTTAGCGGTGGGTACGGGCGAGGGCGAGAAGAAGGGAGCAAGAGCCTGAAAAAATAGACCAAATGAAAAAATGAATAGCAGGAAACGAAAAAGAAATGCAGCCAACGGCAAATAAGCTGAAAAAAAAAGCAGTGCTGGGAAACATACTCTTAAGAGCCATGATGTAGCCACCGGAGCTCTTCATCATCTGGGCAACCATGTCGTCAATGAGGCGGTGCTCATACCAAATCTTCTTGGCCTCAAAGTCCTTCTTGTAGGTGGTGTCGTAGATTTCCTGGAAAATATCCTTGAAGCGACCGTCGTACTTCTTGAGGATAGTGTTCTTGGTGCTCATGTAGAGCGGGTAGCCCTTGTCGAGGGCGAGCTTGAAGGAGGCGTGGGCGAAGCCGGTGATGGACTCGTCGGTGTTGTACTGGGTCTGGGCGACGCCGCCGCCCGTCTTGAAGTCGAAGACGTCAATCTCCTCAGGCTGGCCGCCCTCGGGGGTGAAGACCATGGAGAGGCGGCCGGGGCCGGGAATGACGCGGTCCTTGGCGCGGTACTGGTCGCCAAAGGCGTGGCGGCCAATGATGATGGGCTGCTTCCAGCCGGGGACGAGGCGGGGGATTCGGGGGATGACGATGGGTTCACGGAAGACGGTGCCGCCCAGAGCGTTGCGGATGGTGCCGTTAGGGGAGAGCCACACTGGAAGCGTGTTGGTCAGCGTTGGTCGGGATGGTGGAGGGTCACGCAGCAAGGGTCTCGGCAATGGAGAGCGCCTGAAAGTTGGCCTAGAAGGAACTGGGGGGGTATTTCACAACTCACTCTTCTTGAGCTTGAATTCCTCGACACGGGCCTCATCGGGGGTGATGGTGGCGCACTTGACACCAACAGAGTACTTCTTGATGGCCTCGGCAGCGTCAATGGTGACCTGGTCGTCGGTCTGGTCGCGGTACTCGAGGCCGAGGTCGTAGTACTTGAGGTCAATGTCGAGGTAGGGGTGGATGAACTTGTCCTTGATGCTCTGCCAGATGATGCGGGTCATCTCGTCGCCGTCGAGCTCGACGACGGGGTTCTTGACCTTGATCTTCTGAGAGGTGGCCATGGTGCGGAAGGCGGCGGGGGAGTAGGTCTGGAGAGCTCCAAAGGCGGGACGTCGAAAGGCGGTGATGCGAGGGTGGGAAGCAACAGCGCGGGATGTGAGAAGAAGCCTCGAAACGGAGGCACTCATGGTGAAGAAGAGAGGAAGGAAGGACGGGAGCGAGGGAGGTCGATCTTAATGAAGGGCACGACAACTCAAGGAGGGGTGGTGGTTTCACACGCGGGGGCGGCAAGAAAAAAATTACAAAGAAAATCAGAAAAAGTAGAAAAGCTCGGAAAGACGCGGGGTAACGTTTAGGCTGGAGGAAAAGGCGGAATTGGGTTGGTGGTTGTGTGGTGGTGTGTGTGTGTTTTGTGTGTGTGATGCTAGTATATAGGCTACGACTGTTTTGCGTCGCGTAATAGCAACGGCGTCTGGCGCACCCGCGGGAACGGAGAAGGAGGAGTCCGAAGACGGGGGGAGGAGAGCTGTGAACCACAAAACGATTAGCAATTACATAGAATCATGAAATGCCCTTTTTCTGGGGCGAGGGGCGGCCGCAATGTACCAGCAGAGCTCTCTTGGCAGGTTGGCAGCGAAAGCTTGTTTAGCCGGGTGGATATCGATATGGCAACCAAAGCAACAGACCCCAGAAGGGAAGGGCTTTGAGCCGAGCCGAACGGAGAAGGTCGGAGTTTGACGGGGTAAAGGGCCGGCTGTTATTGCTCTTGTGCCGGGGGGGGCGGGCGGATTGCAAGTCGGGAAATGAGTAAAAAAAATTGGTCGGAGGTTTTGACGGATGGAATCCAAAATGGTAATAGAGAAACGAGAAGATGACTTGTTCAAGAAAATCTTGAAGAAGAATAAAAAGGGAGAGAGAGCTGGCACGTTTGTCGATGGACGTGTTGACTCGGATATAGACTACAGCTTAGCTGGCCTCGGCGCGCCACGACGTCAACAACGCTACGTCTCTTTGTCTATTGCATCCCCCCTCCTCCTCCCTCCATTACCCATGACCACCCGCCACACCACCCCCAACCCAACCATCGCCAGACACGAGACCTTGTTCATGTCCGCATAGGAGCCCTACGCAGGGAGCGCGGCTCAAGTGACGTCGGTCGGCCAAGAAAAAAAGCTTGACGGGGCTGAAGTGGCCGCTTAAAAAAAGGGCCATGTGGGCGTGGTGCAAGGCCATCGTGGGATGCGGAGAGGAGCGAGACACGGCCGATTTGTGCGACGCTCGAGGGCCTTTTGTGTTTCGATATTTTCGGCATGACTTCTTTTGTGGCTAATTCCAGCTCTTCCGTTAGAATTTCCACAACCCTACGGAACCTCTCTTATTAACCACCCATCGGAAACAACGTCGGGCGGCACCCGCGGACAGGGCACAGACGGGGCTTTTTTTTTGCACGGCACCACCATCGGCACAAGGCCCCTGTTTAGCCTGCGGCGCAAACTAGCGGCACAGCCTGGTCTCTCCGCCTGGTCTCTCCGCACCGCGCATGGCATGAATTGAGGGGTTGGCCGCCGTGAGAGCCAGGGTATCTGAACGGCAAGTTTGGCGTGGCGTGGGGGGCCAGGTATGTCTGTCCTGAAAAGAGGTTATCCGTACAAAGCAACTCAAGGTTCCTCAAGCAACAATTTTATTCCCCGCCGATCCAGCACAATTTGCCTAGATCATGATACGTGACGGAACCGACAGATCCGGGGCCTTATTCAGCTTGTCACCACCAATTTGCTAGACTCATTCGTGTCATCTTAGGATGACCACGTCCAGCACCTAGCTCATCAGGTTCCAAGTCCCTGATTTCAACGCATCCGCACCCGATGGTCAAAAGAGGACACTGAGGACGAAGCCAGCATATCATTTACTCGCGCATACTCGGCTGGAGTTGCACATTCCTACCCCATCCCTTTGGCAAGCCCCGCCTCTTGGGGGCCGACATTACCAGAACGGATGAATTCAAGGTGTTGAGCTGCATGGGCGACCTTATACCTAGAATAATGGAACGAAGAGTTATTAGGGCGACCCTCATGCCGCTCTGGCAATAAAATGGCTTCAATGACCGTTGATGTAGAAGAAGGAGCCACGGGCCAATGGGTACCCCCGACATCTATAACCCTGTGGGTGTGTGTGCATCGGCTGCGAAGTGAGATTCCATGTAGCATTATTAAGGCGCCTGTGAGTTTCCGGCTGTCGCTACGTCAAAGGTTAGACGGTTACGCCGCCGCTGGGAAAGCCAGGCCGTCGAGGCCAGAGAGTATAAAATGCCAGCACTTTTGCCCACCTGCATTGGGCTCCAGCTGCCACCCTGTTCTCATCTTCACTCCTCTCTTCTCCTAATTTGGGAACTCGACTAACAAAAACGAGAAACACTTCATTTTCCTACAGTGACCACTTGGCCTTGATAATGCGCTGCCTTACTATCGCTTCTTTCGTTTCGCTCGCGGTGCTACTGCAGGCACTACCTCGCACGTCAGAATTGCTTGGCCAATACCCCTGGAACGCGAGTTTGCTCACGACTGCTGTACTGCACATAATTGATGGCGAATCAAACAACTTGTTGTTCAAGGGTCGCATGTACACCACGGATACGCAAAGTAGACGGCTTACGCCCCCGAGGTCATGGCAGCGGATAGAGAGGCCACTGTAGGCGGCGAGGCGCGTCACTGATGTGATGTTGTATTGCCTTTTTCCTCTACTTGGATGAATATCATCTTTTTGTGATCGAAGTTATTCCGCGATACTAAGCGTGATCTTTCAAACTTGAAGTAGTCGTAGCCCGAGCTCGATGCCGTGGAGATGAGCGCACCACACCGGAACCCGACAACTTATCAACCTTTTGGACTAACAACGACCTGGTGCGGGGAAAGAGGGAGTTAGGATAATAAGATCTTCTCCCGTACACCTCCAAGTATCTACTAGTCCAGTAGTATATCGGCCCACAGAACCTTACCAATGCAACGCATACAGACACATCACAGTAGCAAAAAAGCGAGGCCGCCAAGCGCCGAGCCTTACTGTAATACCTATATCATAGTCGCGTGTTTCCATCTGCACTGAGAAAAGCTTACATTCTTTTATCTTTTTTTACAGAACTCCAAAAAAGTGATTCATACTTCGACTTCCTACCGTGACCACCGAGCTCAAGATGCGTGTCCTTGCTATTGCTTCTTTGCTTTCCCTCGCAGGGCTACTTAGTGCGCTGCCTCGTATGTCAAAAGCTCCTTGCTGACGCTGCTGAGCTGCGGACTTACTAACGAACATTTTACTTAGTTGAACGCGAAACAAACACCTTGCTATCCAAGGCTCGTATGTGGATAAACGCAAACGCAAAGACGGCTTATGCCCCCGAGGCCATGGCGGCGGATAGAGAAGCCACTGCCGGGAACGAGAACATTTAGGCGTGTGGCCATCAAGGGGTGCATTTGAGTTCTTCAGGGTCGTGACGGAGAATGGGTATAAACCGCCATTCATTCACCATGTAACGTGGTAACTAGCTAACGAGAGAGTAGAACGGCGGATGAAAATGTAACAATGAAGCCATTGGTGGACGCTTCCCTCGACGGCACGCAGAAAATTGTCGTCTCTGCGCGAACTGGAAGGTAGGGACGCTCCTACTCGTTGAACCACCATGTTTTTACTGGGCAAGAGAAACAACTGACATGACTTGGTTGTTGTCCAGTGAGCAAGGGTCTCTGATACCAGCAGTGCTGCGAATGACCAAGTACTCTGGTGCTATTCGAATAGACGACATCAACCTCAAGAATGTGCCGCGCGTGGTCCTCCGGTCCTCCATTACCACCATCACACGACAAGGCCTCGAGCTGGATGCCACGCTGCGCACCAACCTGGACCCCTTGTCGATGACGGAGTGCTACTTTAGTGACGAGGACCTCATCAGCATGTTGCACCGCGTGCGGTTGTGGGACGCTGTGCAACGCCGCGGCGGCCTTGACGCTAGCATGAGCCGGATGCGCTTCTCCCCGGCCCAGCGGCAGCTGCTCGGCCTCGCCCGTGGTGCGCTACACCACCGTCGCGAGGGTACGCGAGTCGTCCTCATCGACGACGCCATCACCGCTCATCTCGATGAGCACATGCGCACCAGGATGAATGACTTCATCGACGGCGAGTTTGCTGCCTGCACCGTCCTCATGGTCGCGCACGACCTCGAGGCAATCCGCACGGCCGACATCGTCATCACGATCGAAGGGGGCGCCATCACCAGCGTGCTGGCGCAAAACGGTGCAGGTTGATGCCACGTACTGGCCTAGAGTCGTAATCGCAGGGTCCAGTCTGTGATTGAGCAATAGTAGCTTCATTGTCCTATCGTAGAGCCCATGAAGTTCCATGATTGTTGCATCTAGACGTACATATAAATCACCCCGTTCCTTAAACATCAAAAATATCGCCAACGCCGAGCGCGCCGCCCCGGCGCAGGTCAACAATGTCCAGCCGCCAACCCTCCCAGTGCGTCAGCGAGCGCTTCAGCTCCTTGATGCGCTCCAGGCGACGCATCTGCTCCTCCTCGTGTGCCTTGCGAAACGCCTCCTCGTCAAACTCGGCGTCGTCGTCCTCCAGGAACCCCTCTTCCCCGTCGTCGTCACCCCCGCCGGCGAGCGCGTTGAGGCCGTTGGTGAGGAACTGCCCGATGCCGCCGCCCGTCGAGTTCTTGCGCTGCGTCGGCGAGTTGCCATACGGTGAGGCGGACAGGTCCACGTCCTGGAAGCCGGACGGCTCCAGGTCGCGTCGGCGCTCCAGCCACGCGCCGCTGCGCAGCTCGTGCACCTCCTTCTCCAGCGCGCGGATCTTCTTCTCCAGGCGCTGGCGTTCCTCGCTCTCCAGCTCGTCCATGCCCTCGTCGTCGAGGCCGCCGCCGCCGCTCTCCGTGGACTTGCGGCTGCGGAGCTTCGTGTTCTCGCCCTCGAGCTTCTCCACGCGCGTGCGGAGCTCCGCGAGGTCAGCCTCGGCCTTTTCCTTGTCGCGCCGCAGCGCCTGCGCGCGCGCGTCCTGCTCCTTGTGCAGCGTCGTCAGCGTCGCCACCTTCTTCTCGAGGCCGTCGGCCCTGCGGGCGAGCTCCTCGCGCTCCGTGCGCAGCGCCGTCATCTCGCTCTCCAGCGTGCCGGCGCGGGTCTCGGCGCTGGAGCGCTCGCCGCCCTCGCGCACGGCGCGCTCCGTGGCGCGCTCCAGGTTGCGCTTGACGTCCTGCAGCTCGCGCTGGGCCTTGCCGGCGGCGGCCTCGGCGCGCGCGGCCTTGTCCTCGAGCGCGGCGACCTGCTCCCGCTCGGAGGAGGCGCCGCTGGCGCGCCGCTCGAGCTGCGACCGGAGCTTGGAGATTTCGACCTCCATGGACTCGATCGTGGACGTCTTGGAGTCGAGCTCGGCTTGGAGCGCCGCGGCGGCGGCGGTGGGCGGCGGCGAGGTGGTGGACACGGACGGGCGGTGCGCGTGGCCGGAGCCGCGCGATACTTGCTGCTGGAGTTGCGAGTTTCGGCGCTCCAAGGAAGCAATCTCGCTCTTCTGTGCACGTTTTTGTTAGATTTGCCTCTGAGGCTCGGCGCGCTGTCGGCCATATCCTTACCAGTTTCTCCGTGTCGTCGGAGGAGCTCTTCTTGTCGTCTGCTTCCCGCAGGTCCGCGAGCTCGTCCTCTGCCTTTTTCCACCTCTTCTCCGAGTCGGACGACTCCTTCTGCAGACGCTTGGTCTCCCTCTCCAGCTCCTCGATCCTCGCGACGTGCTTCCTGTAAATGTCCGGCGCGGTGTCCCCGTCCGGGCTCAGCGGCCCGGGCGAGGCGGGGGTGCCGGACACGGAGCTCGCGCGGAACGACGTGGACCTGGCCTTTGACTGCTCTGCCAGGGACGGCGCGGCGGCGGGCTCGGACTCGTCGCCCTTGCCGCCGTCGACGAGCGGCTTCTCCTCGATGGCAGAGTCCTTGTCGGCGTCGTCGTTGGTGGTCGTGTCGGGCGCCGCGCCTTCGTCGGCGGGTTCATCCTTGGTAACCTCGGCGGCCTTCTTGTCTTTCTTCTTCTTGCGTTGCTCGACCTAGACGGGGGCGGCTAACTGTAAGCTTCGGGGGGGGCGACAACACGTGCATAACCTGGGGAGGGCGGGGGGAGGGCAAACCCACGCGCTTCTTTGCGGCGGCAATCTTTTCCTGACGCGCTTTCTCCTCCGCGTCAGCCATTTTCGCTTAGTGAAGGTATGGGTCGGGGAGCTGATGAAGTCGCGCGCTCGCTGTTGATGCAATGGCGCGCCAATTGCCTGGGTTCGCGATGGGCTGGAGCTTCAACCCTGGCGCCCTTGAGCTATGTGGCTTCAGGGATGTCATACAGTATATCTGGTCGTGCTGACACTGTATACACTGTGCACGCAAAGCCAATACCCCAACACCGTTTCACAGTCGACGCTTGAACAATGATGTTGAATTGCAAAGTATCCTATATGAGAGGCAAATTTGAACAGAAATCTTTCATATGTAATTATCAAGGTCTCGGAATCACTTATTTGTGTGTGGCGTAGCCGCGCAGATGTATGCCACCTCGGCTGCTGACTGCCAGCTGGCAAACGACTGCGTGCAGCCGGTGCCAGCTCTTGCTTTCCGATTTCTGCATCTACATATGCCGTCCCACGCTATGAATCGAAGGATCAATTCCTCGGAAACTCTGCTGGACTTATAATATTTGTTGCCATGAACTGGAACAACGGACAGCTTGCCCGCCATTCACGGAGAAGCTACAACAATGACACGACGAAGCAGAAGCAGTATTTCGCCCAGGCCAAGCGCCAAAAGATCACAGAACCCCGAAAACGAAAATACAGCGCAGAAGATTTTGTTCCAAGCTACCTTGAAGACTTGCCGGAGAAGGGGCAAAGACCCTCCCAGGATACGGCACAGCCCAGAGAATCAAGGCGCCGACTCTTAACATTGCAAGACGCGCCGCCGACAGTTTCAAAGAGCGATGCGAGCCTAGAAAACACGAGCTTATCCTCTCACTTTACGGAACAATACGATACGAGTATCGATGCAAAGCGACGCAAATTATTGCAGCAGAGTGACTGGTCCGGCGTGGAGTTGCAGAAGCCAGTCATTATCAAGTACCCCGAGACATCTAGATCAGCGATAAAGGTCCAGCGTCACATTTTACATCAAAAACTGAACTCGCCGCCGGCCGCTGCATCGAAGAAACATATGACTAGCGGAACAGTTATAAAAATCGCGAGCCAAGAATATCGTTGGAGCCCTGGAAACAACAGCGTTAAGACATGGCACTCCAAAGCTCAAAATCCGATGCCAGAGACGCCGATGAACAAGGCAAAGTCAATATACGACATCTCATCATCCGCGTCCAAAAGCTTCAACAGCTTCATACCCGAATCCCCGTGTGTTGAACGAGCCTTGCAAATTGGGAGAGCAAAGGCTGGCCACCAGTTGCAGCTGCAGAGCGCGATGCATACAAGTCCCTCTACACTTGACGAGCCCTTAGTCAAGGCTGCTCCTGCGACGCAATGCTTCCATCCGCAGCCGATCAGACGCATGCCCCAAAGCGTATACACTCGGTTATCGGATTTTGCGAAAGAAGTGGACGCCGCATTCAATTTCGACCGAGAGAGTTCTCCACGACCACAGCAAGTCAGGGCGGGTTGTGGTGCGCCAACGGAAAGCAACTCTGGAGGGAGTGCCGCGTCTGAGCCGCGCAAGGAGGACAGTTCAAGCAAGGTATCAGAATCGCCGAGAGGAACGAATCAGCAAAGTAGACCTAATCGCCTATCACTCTTCGAGTACAATTTTGTTCCGGCCGCCGCTCAGAAACTGCCAATTGAGCCGTTAGCGCAGGGTTCCGACTCACTACCCAGCAGCATCACCACGCCCAACGTATACAGAATAGCCGAGGCATGTCATCAGAGCAACCGGCTGTCGGCGCTGCCCTACAAACGCCCTGTGCCAGCAGCCCCGGAGGTTGTCGACGAGGAGGATAACATCATGTGGAAGCGGTTCGTGCTGGGGCCGAGTCAACCTGTTGTTGTCGAGTCAGCTGCACATTGCAGCCCTGACATCCTAGACGCCAAGGAATGCGACAGCCGGGGAAAACTCGGAGTGCAAGCAGCAGCGGCGGCTGAAGCACCGACGCGGAGCGCGAGCAGGCTACTCGACAATGTGTCTCCGGTCCCTGACCCACCGCGGCCTCAGGGGCCCACTCCGGCTCCGGCTGGGTCAGCACCGCCACCAACCGTCTCCGCGGAAGGCCCCTGCGCGAGCCTATCCAACGACCCCCAGAGAATTAGTGACGAGGACGGCGCTGCGTTGGCCCCTGTTTATTTCCGCGAGCAAGAAGATAGCCTCGAAGCAATGACCGCACACCCCACTGGAGATGCATTACTGGGGGCAAAGCCAGAGTCAACGACGTTCCACCCGCCGAGTTTGTTTGTGGGCAGGCTGGCCACCAGCGAGCGCGGAGCCAGCAGGAGAGCGGTGGTGGCGGCGGCAGCGCCCACCAGCGAACCAGCAACAGAACAGAGCAGCGCCAGAGCCAGAGCCAGCATTATCCCTGCGCGCAGCAAAGCACCTTCGGCGCGGGTGATGAGCAGAAAACGACGAAACAAGAGGCGCGAGGACGGACGGCCTGACATCAGAGCACTGCCCAACATTCAGGGCGATCCGATTGAGTATACGCCGTAGAGAGCGACATGCAGGATTGACTGCTGCCTGAAAGGTCGAGACATGCATTCTCGGTTGCGCTAGCTGCGATGCATTGCCCGGGGATGGATGGAGGTGGTGTCAGGTATTGCCCCAAACTGGGAGGGGGGGCGTGGATCTTGCGAGCGAGCGATTGAGGGTTCATGTATGAAGGAGAAGTTACGTATGTACGGAGTATGTCGTATGTGGTTTTTGTGTGCTTGCATGTATGGCGCATCATGAGATTAGATTACCAATAGTCAAGAAATGGCATCATGTGCATAGGTCAATCTACTATCCCATCCATCCTAGCTCCATTTGTTCTGGGCTAGGACAAGCCCTCTCTTGCTTGGCAAGCTCAGGGTAAAAGATAAGACCAAACAAGCTTTCCCCTTCCGCGCCTCACCCTTTCTTATTCCCGTGCCCACCCGTCTTTCCCCTCAAAGGGGTTGTCATTTGCGAGACGATAACACTCGCGTAAAAAGAGAAGAGCGCCCAGCACTGCCTCCCCACGGTTGATGCAAGAAGGAAGCCCACATGAGTTTATCCATGCCTCGAGTAGTCTGGCCGGGATGTAGGGTAGAGCGGTGGTGGAGTCATGCGTCCACTGCGCCACCACAGAAGAAACCCCCATTCCTTCTAGAAAACTTCCACGGAGATTCGAACCCCCCCCCCTTCTCCCTGTGTGGGGAAAGAGGAACGGGTACTTGGCAGCAAAGTCGCTTGGGCAGCAAAAGAGGTCATGTGGCTGTCGCCCTTGGATTTGGAGACGAATGGTGAATTAGGTTTGGGGAATCCCTGGCGAATCAATGGAGGGGCAGGATGGGCGTGGAGAAATTCGTCTGCCTAGAGCTGTACTTCGTAAAGACGAGAAGGGAAAAAAAGAGCAAGGAGGGGAAATTCATTGTCTTGGGGCGATGCGATGACTCTTCTTTGGGATGGCTGATTTGGCATCGGCGCTGATTCGTGATTGGACAATTGAGAAGGAGTCACAGCGAAAAGAGTAACTGCCGGTGACACGACCGCGGCGCCTGAGCTGAGCGACGATCCCACGCATCGTTTTAGGCACCGAGATTCTTTCTCCTCAGCACTCATGCAGGGCAATAGGGGTACATGACTACCAATAAGCGAAATGGAACAATTAGAGAATAGAGAGAGAGGTTATGAAAAAAAAAAGCAAATGTAAATGGTCGTCTAAAGCTATGGTATAGAAACGTTGGGCTTCTGTATACGCCCGAGATCATAAAGGCGTTAATAATAAGACACTGTACATGAAAGTCTCGCGAGCGAATGACGTAGCCATGGTTGAGCTGGAAACACCAACAAGTCCATCGCGTCTCTTCCAAATATTCCAACCGAGTGGCTTGAGTGGGCAAATATCCAATCATTAAAGTTTAGAAAGATAAAAAAGCAAAGAAACACCCGTCAGCACAGCCCCGATCGAAACTGAAGCTGCCCAAAAGGGTTCTCGGGGGTGGTGTGTCTTGCAAATTGTAGGAATCTGAGGCTGTGTGGGTGGGCTCGGCCGAGAGGGTGGGAAATACAGTCCATCAGGGCTGACCCGTAGGCTGTTTTGCTTGTCCCTTGCGGAACAACAAGAAGTGCCGCTAGAAGTGAAATGACACCAAGCGGGCTCCCTGTTTTAGCGAGTGTGCCTCAGCGGGCTCACCACTGGCCTCAGGTGTGCTGGTGCGATCGCTGGTCGTGCCATGGAGCCTTGTGTGTCAGACTATCTAGACGACGGGTCTAGCGCTCCCGCATAGCGGTTGCTTCGGTGCTCTTTTTGCTGATGGCTGGCTCTCGCTGCCGACTGAGAGCGTGGTGGCTCGCCAAATAAAAGTCGTCAAGGATGAGAGAGAAAGGCGTAGGATAGGAAAGAGACCACAATGAAAATTCAAAATAGACGTCCAATGAGTTCTCAGTCGGCGATGGCATCCAGTCAGTCACGCATACGTAGCTCCTTGCGCTTGGCTTGGCAGGTCGTCTTGCACTTGGGGCACTCGTAGCCGCTCTTCTCGATGTAGTTGCGCACCAGGCACTTGGCGCATCGCCACCACGACGACGACAGGTTGCAGTCCTCGAGCCACTCCTCGTTGACCACGCCGCCGCGCTTCTCAATGTCTTCCTTGTGGAACTCGCGTAGGTGGTCGCGGAAGTGGTCGCGTCGGTGAAAAGGGTCGCGGCGCCGCGTGCACCTGGGATAGTCGCAAAAGTACGATTCCTTTTGCGATGCGGGCGCGTGCTTGTGCTTGTAGTGGCGGTCGAGGTCTGCGCGGCGCTTGAACGGTTTGGTGTCGCAGCCGGGGAAGAGGCAGACCACTGGATAGTCTCGTCCCTTGGGGCTAGAAGGAAGAGAGATGTATTAGCTGTCTTACTCTAAAAAAAAAAGGTTTACGGTGGTAAAAAAACGAAAAGCAAGGTGCAGAATTCCAAAAAAAAATTGGCTTCGTGGTGATTGCACGTACGATTCGCTTGGGATTTCCTCTGGTAGTGTTCTCGGGGACTGCCCATCGCAGCTTGTTGCGACGCTCTGGCTGCTGTATGGAGAGCCAATGCTAGCAGCTGGCATATCCTGCAACGCAGGAAAGAGGGGGCTTCCTGGTGAGCTTGCTTGCAGTGCATAGAAGGAGCTGAAGCTGGTGCCCAGCATTGGCGAAGCTGGTGTGGATGAGGAGAAGGAGCTCTCCGAGCTTATGTGGCGGGTGAGGGGCTCCGAGCAGGTCTGAAATCGAGGGTCTTGAGCGAAGAAGTTATCTGGTTGCCCGAATCCAGAGAAATCACCACTGAAGTTGCCAACCTCGACCGACATGTTGCCAGCTGGTGCAGAGGTGCTGTAGTGGTAGTCGGACGTGACTCCAGGGCGAAGCCTGGCTGGGATGGGTCGACTCTGGCGGAAAGGACGCATGTACTGGTGGTTAGGACAAGTAAAACAAGAAGCAAGTCTTGTTTTTGCTTCGTCCAGGGAGGAAAAGTGAAATAGTTTGCGGGTACAGAAAGCAGAAGTTTCCTAACAAGGTGAGCAATCTGAAGATCAACACTCTAAAAGGTCGTTGTCACTGAACAAGAAGAGTGTAGAGCCGGCTAGTAGTAAGGAGAGGAGTGCGTGATATATAAGATGGGAGAAGTCGGTGATATGCATCAAATTCAAAAGACTGTATCCAAAACAAAGGTAGAAGGGAGGGGGGTGGTGACGACTTATATCACCCGACAGCTAGGATCGAGTGTGGCAGTACGAAAGGGTGTGTGAGGGTGTCTGTCCGTTTCAATCCGGGCAGTAGACTGCCAGTAGTTGCATTTCCGGCAGGCTTCTAGAAGGGTTGCCAACCTTCAAACCTCAGCCCTGGGGACCGCTAGTCGAATGAGCTCATTGGAAAATTCCATGTGGAGAATCGCTGCGGACAAGGGGGGGGGGGG